AACAAGACAGGAATTTATTCTTATACAAAAGAGATCCTATTTGCTTCCAGATGCTCACAGGTCAGAATGGAAATCTATGATTATATAAGTAGAGCACTATGAATAAGTTATAGCAACACTTCATGACACTAAACCATTTTCCACAATTTTCATATAGTCAAAAAGCTGCAAACTAAGTTTCATACAGATAAAAGGTCAGAAAATAAAGGAACTCACAGGCAGAAGAGAAGAGTAGCCTTTGTAAGATCTTAAATGTCTGCTGTAGTTTCTGGGTACACAACTAATTACCAGATAAATTTGGCCCCTATGGCCTCTGCTGACTAATTTTCTTTTACAGCAGGGGGTTCAGATTAGCTATCCATCAGTATCCTGCAGTTCTGTCTGATCACATAATGCATCCCAACCAGAAGCTGACTTCTTAGTCTTAGCATGTCATCTTTTTAGCAGGTTCTGTCACATGTGATGAAATAAAATGGAAATAAATCCAGTTTAAAACAACCTTACAAATGTATGAGAATTTGAAAGAGCTAGGCTTTTATAATTCTCTCTTCCCATCTCCCTCCAACAACTGTAGTTATGGATCCTACTGCATTGTTTCTTTTAGATTTTATACTTATATTAATCTACCCATGCTTTTGTTAGGATTTACAGGCATGAACCTAAAAATAATGTTTATCTATACCATAATTTTGCGCTATCAGGATTACTAATGCTTCTTTTGCAATGAATTTAGTGCTCAAACTGCAAGCCAGAGAAATTATAATACATGAAATCTCAATTGTAGGAAAGAGCTGCAATATAAATTATGTCTCTGAAACATTCCCCATGGCACATATGCCAAGTGTCAGAAACATGAACACTTCATAACATGTCTTTTATGAAGTGATGACTTTAAAGGCATTGCCTGATTTGGCCAGGGTGCGATAAATACCTAAATCTCTATTTCTAATCAGACCTCATCTATTTGGAAGAGGACTTTTTTCATCCTTTTCCCTAGTGCTAGAACTTAGTATTCCAAAATATGACAAATATTAGTAATTTAAAAACACAGCCTTATTCCACAAAAGTATGAATATTTTCTAATCTCAGTAACCATATCTGTCACCATAAATTCTCACTGCTAAAAGTGTGGAATTATGAACAATTGATGTCTTGATTCTCTGACTTGAACAAATGATCAGGGAATACCAGTTTTGAGCATTTATGCTGCATTATTTCTGAAGTCCAGTTCAAATGGAAATGTTAACAGGACATCTCAAGATCTGTGTTGATTGAAGATATCAAGATCTGCAAAAGATTTTATCTCTTTTTACCATTAAATCCTACATGCCACCTTTCTCTTTTAGCCTGGCAACACTTACTATAAATATTATATATGTTATATATAATATAAATATTATTTGAATCATCAGGGTGGGAAGAGACCTTTAAGATCATCAATTCCAACCATCAACTCAGCACTACCACAGTAATGCTTAAACCACTAAACCACAATACCCCGTGCCAGATCCAAACATCTCTTAAACACCACCAGGCAGGATGACTCCAGAGAGGTGACAACCTCCCAGAGCAATCTATTCCAATGCCTGACCACACTTATGGTGAAGAAACTTTTTCCCAATATCTAGACAGAATTTTCCCTTTCTCACCTTAAGGTAATTTTTCCTGGTCCTGTCACTGTAGGCACAGCAGAGGAAACCATCTACAAACCTTGCTACAATCTCCTTTCAGTACTTGTAGAGAGCAGCGAGATCCCCCCTTGACCTCCCCTTCTCGAGGCCAAAGAAACCCCATGCCCTCAGCCCTTCCCCACACGATGCATTTCCTAGGCCCTTCAGGAGGTGTCCTTGTTGCCCTTCTCTGGACACACTCCAGTACCTCAATGTCCTTTTCAAAGTGAAAAGCCCAGAACTGAATGCAGGACTCCAGGGGTGGCCTCACTGCTGCTGAGCACAGGGACATGATCCCTTACTAGTCCTGCTGGCTGCACTGTTCTTGATAAGCTGTGTACAGCACACACGGTTGGCTTATATATCTTTAGGGAATTACTTAAATTGCTCACCAGGAGCCCACCATATCATTACTTTGCAGTCCTACAAGCATTAAGTTTATTGTCACACTTCATTTCCTACTTGGAAGGATGAGTTGTGAGCTTCTATCTTATGGAATGGGACTGCTGGCTAGTTTTCACAGGTGGTGTCAAAGCGTTTTTCTTTAGTAGTATGAAGTGCTAGACTCAAGAGTTTATGAAATTTATTAAACAGCCTTAGATTTCCATTTTTTGCTCCTGAGATGCAAGACCTTTACAAGCTGAACTTGCCTATTTTAGTTCATATACCTGTCCACCTTAAGTTTTTGCAAAAGATTGATGCTGAGACTTAAACCAAAACAATATGAATAGTTCTTTCAATTATTGGTCAATTTAATTTAAGTGTTTTAGTTTAAGTGTTTGAAAATTTTCTGGAATGTTTACCTGAAGATTAAAAAAAAAACACATTTACTTTTATAGCCTCTGTCTGTAAGATTTCTATGTTTAAAATATAGAAATTAAAAACAAATTCAGGAATATGAAGAATCCTTTTATGTCCCTAATTATTTTGGTTGGTTGGTTGGTGGGTGGGTGGGTGAGTTTGGCTGTTTTGGCTTGGTTTTTGGTTGTTTTGAGGGAGTCTTGGGGGGTGTTGTTTGGTGTGGTTTGTGTTTTGTTGGGGATTTTTAAATTGGTTTTTGGCTAGTTGCTTTGTTTTGTTTTTATTTTTCATTTTTATCTGAAATACATTTAAGTGTCAAAGTCTTTTGCTGGATCTGGTCTTCTATTAATTATAAGATTTGGTGAAATCCAAGACTTTGAAGAACGCAATAAATAGCTAAATTATTGAGGTTTTTTTCTCTCTATTTATCTATCACTGAGAGAGACACATCCACATGTGCATACCTCTCCCAATCTCTTGTAGTCTTGAGTTTTTTCAAAATAGTTCTTATTTTGAAAACTTTTCTATAAATCAGATTACAATAGTCTGCGTCGTGATAAATGAAAAATAAATGCTTTAACAGTAAGAGTAATATAGAGTTTAAAACAAAATAAATAATAACTTTTCCAATGTTAAAAAATGTTAACTGTCAAAGCTCAATTTTAAAACCAAAACCTTGTTTATTTGCACAACACCGAGAAATTCTGCTTTTTAGAAAAAAGTTAATTGGTTATTACCATACCAGTATCTGTAAACTGGTTTCCAGAAGAAGGAAAAAAAAAAAAAAAAGAAAACCACACTGTACTATAAACTGCACTTCTAAGAGACTATTTTCTTCAGACTTATTTCTTAACACAGCAACATTTCTTCATATTGGTCTTTAAAAAAATCTTAATTTCATTCATTCCCATTTAAATATAGGACAAAATTCAGAGGAGTAAATATGCACACCCACACACAATCACACAGAAATAAGATATTGTTATCTCTTTTTAAAATTTGTTATTAATATCTGATAGCTCATTACTATCAGGAGGGCAGCTGCTGGTAATTAACTCATTCTGAAAATAAACAAAGAGGGGAGATACTCCTATAATGCCTTAAGAGGATTTTTAGGTCTCATTCTAGTTCTTGTGATTTGTAAAATCTGCCATATGAGACCACCATAGACATTTGCCGACTATGAAGAATTACCAGTCACAGTAATAACTGCTGTAATATCACAGATTTTTTACATTATTAGTGTATAAAAATGCTTTTAGTTTTATGCAAATTGACACTTAGCAATAGTGTTTGAACAGTATTGCACCTGTGAACATTTCAGTTCAGTCTCAGAAACATTAGGCAAGACATTATATTGGAACAATTTTGACTATATTTTGTTTATTATGCTAATGAAAGTAAAAAAAATATCCATGCTCAATCCATTAAGATTCAAAATAGACCATGAAAACTTCATAAAACACCCACTGTGTATGTGGCATCGTAACTTATATTTCTGTCATGTCACTGTTTTTGATCTGACAGTCAATTTTGCAATTTCATTTGCTTTTGCTGATTATAGACCAAGTCCTGTGAAGAGGTGTCTTCAACTTACATTTACTTCAAGGGAATAATTCCTTACAGTTTGCTACAGCTTCTTAAAAACACAAAGACGACTACTATTTTTTGCTCTGTTTTCCAAACACTCTGATGGTTTTAGGACCTAGAATCTTTTGGTAGAATTTTGTGTCTAGGACTTAATAACTCTGATCCTCTTTCTAAATTTTTTTTTTAACTTTACCAATTCCAAAAGTGAGGCTGATACATATTTCAGGGAGGAAAAACTGATATTTATTGATGCATGCAAGTGTATGTCTTGAGGAATTATATTCAGTATTAAATAAGACAATGGTTTCTGTGTTGCCATGGTTAAATAAATTCTATGGGCATGCAAGGCTGGCATTATATTAGAAGAAGGACAATGGTAAACAGGGATAAATTTAGATTAAGTGGAGAAGATAACTATTGAAAAGATTTCTATAGAGACACAAGTGAAGACAGATTATTCAGTGCCATAGGAAAAGTTGATAAGTTTTCTGTGAAAGAATAGAATGGAAAAACATCAATTTTAGGCTAAACATTAAGCTTTTCATAACAGTCTTTAAAGAATGAAGGTTTTATATTAAGTGGCTTTAGTGGAACTTATTAAAAACAGCTCAGAATCTGGTGTAAATGTATGCCTTCTATCTAGTAAATCTATCACTCAATTGGATTCTATGTTGAGAGTTTTATTATTATTTTGTAATTATATGTTTAGAAAAAAAACCATTGAATTACTTTTTAATGTATTTCTGGAAATGAAAAAAAAATAATAGGTTAATTTTGTCCAGAATAATGAGTGAAAAGGAAAATTTATTTGAAATCTTTATGCAAATATAATTGTGCTAAAATCTAAACATGTAGAACAAAGGCAGAAAATAACGTTTCCTGAAATGCACAAATCTGGCTTGTCTTCTTGCTCACATCATAATCAGGTCACTTAACTTCTTTTTGCTTTCAATTCTTTTGCTGTCACTCAACCTATAACTTCCCATGGGTGAGTCTACTATCAGTAAATCTTTGCTTTAAATCTTTAGGTTTCAAGGGCATGTTGCTTCATTTCCTTTAAGGCAGATTTTTTTAAGTCCAAAAGCTCTCAGGGGTGCTAGGGCTTCTGATTACAGCATGTAAATAAATTACGATTTTCCCTTTTATCATGCTAGCTATCAGCAATATTCAGGTTTGATGCAGTA